AACATGGTATCGCTTAATCCAGCGATTCCTTCAGGACGACACGGCGGAAACGACTATTCCAGATTGGGCAATTTTCAACCGTCAGTGGCTATATCAAACGTGACACTCGGTCAGTGTCGAGCACCAGGTTGCGGTGGACTGGTAGTAAACGACAAACTTAGAAAAAAAGTAGATTTTACAATTAAAACCAAACTCAACGCCCAAAAATCAACGGCAGAATTTGATGAGGTGAACGACGATACGACTATTGACAACTTCAATGTGAGTATGGCCTTAATGTGGTTTTACTGTGTCGTGTATAATGCTCTTATACGACATTTATTCCAACACTATATCAAATCGTCGACCACATATCGATTAAACAGCACTTGCTAAACAATTCCATTACGCGCCAAAGTATACTCGACATAACACTGGTGATGAGGTAATGTATTTTTTTTTTGTGTGTTTCGTTTCAAGTACTGGACATTGAAATACTAGGTTCATTATATTTTCTCATAAATACCAACACTCGGACTTGTTATAGATGACAAATAAAAATACATAGTATCGATTAACGCATGTTGTATAATATGACGACGGAATGGAACCAATGTTAGTTGTTTATAATAAAAAAACAAATAAGTGTTTTATTTGTTTTGATTTTATTAAGTTATACATAAAGTACTAACACACATTTAAGGTTAAATACAAGGTGAAAAAAAATAGAATCAGCCCGCAGCCGTTATCTGAACACTTGTTATTACGACGTTTAAAAAATGGGTTTGGCAAGTAGAGTCGGTTGATTTTGAAGTTTTCGATATGTATTTAAAAACATTATTATAATAACAATGTTTAAAAAACATTAAAGCTCTGTAGTGAATGAATTTTACGAGTATGATATACCATTCAGAAGCTCTTCACTGAACTTGCTAAGGTGCAGTGGTGATTAGGTTGACGTATCACACTCCAGAGACTTTATTTGCATAGATAAATATATTTATCTTATTAAAGTAAGTTAAGTAAACAACTTTTATCCATAGTATGAATATAATATCATACTTTGTATTTAAAATTTAAAAAAAAAGTTAAACTATAAAAAAATAATTTATTTTTTGTCAATAAGAAAAAATAAATAAATTTCAATCATTGACCACAAACAAAATATCTTTTATATGATTTTTCATTTTAAATGAAATTACAGAACACAATAACTTGTTTATACATTTTAAATTAGTACTACATTTGAACGGAATATTCTTTAGATTTAATACTAACAATATACGTTGACAAATCCTCAAAAAAGAATTGTTTCTATCAAAAGTAATGAACTTACATATTTGACACTTTAAAAAGTAGAATATTTATTTAAAATATTATTTGTTGTTTACCATTATTGAAGGTAATGGTCATCCGTTTGAAATATTCCGTGTTACTTTAAACGCAAACTATAGTATTCAAAAAACACAGATTTTTTGAGAGAAAAGGAAGAATATTTCCTATTCGTTTGTATACTTAAAATTGGTATTTACTTAGTATTTATTTTTAATAGCTATTAACGTATAATAATTGTTTTTAGGCCATTGAAATGGAAATAAACAGACCGGACAATTCGGAATACTCATATTATAACCTAATGAATTGGGCATATTTTTTTAAAATGGTTAAAATTCAAAATTGTGGCTATTTGCTAAAGTCAGCTGATGATTCTTTTCCGGTAATATTAGTATAAAATATCATTTTTAAAAATATAATTATAAACCGTTTTGTTTAATTTCAAGCATCAAGTTAAGAAATTATTGATGGAAAGAGAGTGGTCACCTAAGCTTGTTGACGATCTTGTTAAAAAATATAATCAAAGCAACTGGCCCCCTGGTATATCAGACGAGGAAATATGTAATGACGAAAAGGAGAGGCTTATAAAAAACTACATCTGTAGACGTATTCCGGGTTTCCTCGAAGACAATCAAGAAGAAGCAGTAATCGTATTAGCTGCTGATAACCCGCATATGCCTGCTGATACGATCGCTGAACCAGGGTTTTTGATGTTTTTAAATCCGGGAGCATTGTATTATACTAATGATGATGAACTCAGAGGTTTAGAAAAATGCTTCGATATTGTAGAAGTTCTTAGATGGGATTTACTGATAACGTCACCTGAAGATTCCCTTCGGGTAATTAATGCATAATAAAAATTTAAAAAAAATTAAAATTAACCGTGGTTTTCATTTGAAAGGACAGCGCTGATCAACAATTGATACGGGAAAATTGGCATCTTAGACATGTGTATTCTATTACTGAAAAATGTAGTCAAAATAGCTGGCCATCTGGTATATCGGGCACACAATTACAAGATGGCGAAAAGATGAGTCTCTTAAAAAATTACATTTGTAGACGTATTCCGAGTGTTCTCAGTGGCAATCAAGAAGAAGCAGTAATCGTGTTCGCTTCTGATAATAAGCATATGCCTGCGGATATGATCGCTCATCCAGGAATGTTGATGGCATTCAAACCGGGAGCATTGTATTCTTTAGGTTTTGATGAATTTAAAAGTGTGCCAGACACCTTGGAATCAGTACAAATTAGTAGATGGGATTTGCTGCTAACGTCGCCTGACAATTATTTATGGGTAATTTTTGCATTAAAAACGAATTTGATTAAAAAAAAAAAATTAACCACTGTTATTGTTTTAAGGACCGCGTCAATTCTCTATTATTTAAAAGAAAAATTCCATATCGACTTACGAGGGCTATTTTAGAAAGATATAGTAAAAAAAACTGGCCACTTGGTACATTGAGTGCACTATTACAATATGACGAAGAAAAGAAGATGCTTTTAAATAAATATGTATGCAGGCGAATTCCAGGTGTTCTCAGTGATAATCAAGAAGAAGCATTCATCGTGTTCGCTACTGATAATACCCATATGCCTGCTGATATGATTGTTGAGCCAGGATTTTTGATGATATTGAATCCGGTAAAGTAATCTATCGACAATTGTGTTGAAAATATTTTGCTATCACCTTTTAGAAATCTTACGTTTTAATAATACAATTTCTAACGGTCAAACAATTTACTAAATACTGTATATTTTATGGTCTTAAACTCTTAAGTCAACTTCCAATCATATATAAAGTAAAAATACATACTTTTTATATGCATTTATCATTTTAAATACATTTGTGGAACACTATACATTTTTATAAATATTCAAATTAGTACTGAATTTGCACCGATATTAATTCTTATTTTTTTCAGTATACATATTGTAATTATATCATAACTTTGATGTACAATTTTATTTTTAATAATAGTCATACATATGTTATATATAGGTTGATAATAATTTTTCTGTCCACTTTTTATTGTTAACGTTTCGTTGTTAGGCTAAACATGTGTTAGAGTTTAATAAGTAATCTAATACGATAAAAAATCAATTAGTTCTTTTAATTTAGGTTGAATGCTTTTTTCTGAAAATATTTTACCAATTTAAATGTTGCATCTTCGATTTTGCTAATTTCTTTACGTGTATTTCTATGACTGAACTACTATAATGCTTATACACCAAAAAACGTAGCATAAGAAACGTTTATAACTTGAATACTTGAAAAAATATTGCAATATTCTTCATAGTAGATAATCTACGAATACAGTTCTGTGGTCACAAGTAAGAAATTGATGCGTGATAACTCCATAACAACATTGATTACCTATTTAAGTTGTAAGGTCACCTAAGGTACGCCTTTGTTTATTACTTATCTCTAAGCAGAGCAAATCACACCGTTAGTCTTCAAAGTACAATAAAAATATATCAAAGATGATCTAGTAATCGGGTAAGTTTAAGAGAATGATATGTGACCACATGACTAAAATTAAAGTATTTAATGAACATAATTTAATTAGCATAAGTTATATTCAGTGGTTGATAAAATTGGCATTTAGTAGCTATAATAACAATAATAACAAAATAATTATGTATTTTGGCAAAATACCCGAATACACGAACGTACCAGAATTGCCTATGCAAAACACCGTGTTACTTAAATCCTAATAAAATTTATTTTAGTACAGTATTACTATCTTGAATTAAAAAAAAAAAATAAACTTTTAACGTTTAAACATCTTGAAAGTTTCTAAATACTGTATATTTTATGGTTTTAATTCAACTTACAATCGCATATAAATTAAAAAAAATAATTTTCTTTATACATTTTTCGTTTTAAATGAAATCGCGGAACATTGAAAATATACATTCAAATGAGTAATACATTTGCACGGAATATGCTTTAAAATTAGTACTAACAATATACGTTAACAAACCCCAATGAAAAAAAAAAATTAAACTCTTTCACCCAAAAATTAAGAATTTACATATTTGACACAAATAGAAGTAATATTACTGATTAATTATTTTATTTATATGTTTGAAATATTCCGTGATACATTAAACACTTTGTATACTATATCAAAATCAAATTTTTTGAGAGAATAAATAGTATTTTTTTTTCATTTGTATACTAAAAATTGGTATTTACTCATTATTCATTTTTGATAATTATTAACGTAAAATTGATATTTTTAGGCAATTGAAATTGAAATAGACAGACCGCAGTTTTCCGATTATTCAATACATGACCTAATGAATTGGGTATATTTTTTCGAAACAGTTAAAATTCAAAATTGTGGTTATTTGCTAACGTCGGCTGATGATTCTTTCCCGGTAATATTAGTATAAAATATAATTTTAAAAATATAAATATTAACCGTTTTGTTTAATTTCAAGCATCAAGTTAAGAATGTATTGGTTAAAAGAAAGTGGTCATCTCAGCTTGTGGACGAACTAGTTGGAAAATATAATCTAAGTACCTGGCCATCTGGTATATCGAGCGAGGAAATATGTAATGACGAAAAGGAAAGACGTATTCAAAATTACAATTGTAGACGTATTCCGGGTTTTCTCAAAGGCAATCGAGAAGAAGCAGTAATCGTGTTAGCTGCTGATAATCTACATATGCCTGCTGATACCATCGCTAAACCAGGATTTCTAATGTTCTTAAAGCCGGGAGCATTGTATTATAATAATGATGATGAATTTAGAGGTGTAGAAAACTGTTTTGATATAGTTGAAGTTCTGAGATGGGATTTATTGATATCTTCTCCTGACGATTCCCTTATGGTAATTTTTGCATTATAAAAATATTAAAAATCAAAAATTACCCATTGTTTTCGTTCAAAGGAAAGCACTGATCGTCAACTGCTACGGAAAAATTGGCCCCGTAGACATGTGGACGCTATTACTGGAAGATATGGTCAATGTAGCTGGCCATCTGGTATATCGGGCACACAATTAAATGATGGCGCAAAGAGGAGTCTTTTAAAAAATTACATTTGTAGACGTATTCCGAGTGTTCTCAGTGGCAATCAAGAAGAAGCAGTAATCGTGTTCGCTTCTGATAATACGCATATGCCTGCTGATATGATCGCTCACCCAGGATTTTTGATGGCATTCAAACCGGGAGCATTGTATTCTTTAGATTATGATGAGTTTAAAAGTGTGCCAGATACCTTGGAACTAGTAGAAGATATTAGATGGGATTTGTTGATAACTTCGCCTAAGGAGTATTTATGGGTAATTTTTGCATTAAAAAAAAAAACGAATTAAAAAAATTAATTGTTGTTTTCGTTTAAGGACCGCGTTGATTATCTACTATGGAAAATAGATTTTCCGTATCGACTTACGAGGGCTATTTTAGAAAGATATAATGTAAAAAGCTGGCCATCTGGTATATCGGGCACACAACTGCAATATAATGAAGAAAAGAAGATGCTTTTAAATAAATATGTATGTAGGCGTATTCCGGGTGTTCTCAGTGATAATCACGAAGAAGCATTCATCGTGTTCGCTTCTGATAATACCCATATGCCTGCTGATATGATTGTTGAGCCAGGATTTTTGATAATATTGAATCCGGTAAAATAATCTATCAGCAATTTTGTGTTGAGAATATTTTGCTATCACTTTTTAAAAATCTTACGTTTTAATAATATAAAAAATTTAAAAGTTACTTAATACTGTATATATTACGGTCTTAAGTCAACTTACATTCAAATATAAAGTAAAAACGTATACTTTTTATATACATTTATCATTTTAAATAAATTTGTGGAACACTTTAAATTTGTATACCTTGTATAACTATGTTTTTTGACCTAAATAAACATTGATTATCTATTAAAGTTTTAAGGTCATATTTGTGCAAGTGTAGTTTCACGGTTAACAAAATTAGCCGACTGGTCTAGATGTTTTCTCGTAACATCCTAACCTAACAAAACTGAGCGTTTACTGTAGATTAGAGTTGTCTATATAGTGAGTGCACATCACACCGTTAGTTTTCAAAGTACAATAAAAATATATCAAAGATGATCTAGTAATCGGTAAGTTTAAGAGTATAAAATGTGACCGCACGACTAAATTTAAAGGATTTAATGATTTATCGACTTATTAACATAAGTTATATTCAGTGGTCGATAAAATTGGCATTCAGCAGCTATAATAACAATAATAAAAAAACACTTATGTATTTTAGCAAAATACCCGATTACACAAACATACCAGAATTGCCTATGCAAAACGCCATATTATTTAAACTCAAATAAAATGTATTTTAGTACAGTAAGACTATCTTGAATTTAAAAAAAAATGAGTCAAGTACGATAATTGGAATGAAAAACCATTTAGCTTCATGAAGACGAAGTGCTTACAATTATGTGTTATATGTTATTAAAACAACGAGTTTTGATTTTTTTCTTAAACTAAATATTATAGTATGTTGACTCTATGCTCATTAAAAAAGAATTGCCAAGAACAACCAAAATATGAATTAAAAATAAATTAATTCGATTCTTACAATTAAAACAATTGTTAGTTTTAGCTGAGTTTTTCTTTATTTTGTTTTTTAGGAATTCAGGTCGGAATCACCTTGTCATGTAACTGTGAAGTAAAAGTTTCAGGTAGATAAGACATAAATTTACCAACTGTGTGTGGTTTTTTTTACAACGAAAATTCCAATTATAAAATAAAACCTAACAAATTACAATGACCAATGCCATTGTATGGTGAAAACTAAAAATGATTCACATTGGTTGTTTTTTATAATTTAATTTTAACTCAAGCTCAATATTGGTATCAAAAAAATATTTACAGTCTTTTAAGCGTGTTAAAAAATTGTACAAGGAATAAGATATAAAAAAAGTACGCTGACCGATCTCAAGTAAACTTCATGAAAAATTCAAATCTGTTTTGGGATTACTTATTGGATCACTGGTTCAGCCTGTGTGATGGACAAAAAATGTACTATTATATTAACTAAAATGGCTTTTACTCATAGACAAAATTATTTAAATTAAAAATAATACCATGAAGCTTATACAAATTAACCGAGAAATTAATTGACATATTCGAAACTGATTAAAACCCCTTTTTTCTTAAATATTGCCTATACAAAACTCCTTAAAAATGGTCGGTATCCAGGGGCCTTAACGCCTCGGTAAGAATCCGATTAACAATACTTTAATAAAAACCTAGTACAGTGAGGTCGGAGCACGGTGGGGAGGGGTAGATCACAGGTTTACAGGAATTTTTAAATCTGAAAGTGATAGAATCACTTTTGAAAAAACGCTTCGATGCAAATTATAAGTAGTTAGTATTTTCAAGCGTAGTGTAAACCAGCAAAGTTAGAAAGTATTAAATTGAGGTGCTGTATTTACAAAATATAAGCATCAAAACATTAATTTGAAAGTGATTTTATTCAATTTTATCACTTTTATTTATAATAATTCCTGTAACCTTTAACCCCTGCGTTCCCTCTATGCTTGGACTCCATTTTCTCTTTCCCTTTGAAATTTTTATATTTAATACATATACATACATACACATAAAAAAATGTTATAAGCAAAAAAAATTTAAATATTCTACTCCTTTAAGCCTAAGCTTGTGTTGGAGTTGAGAGTTGGCATTCAAATAAAATTAATGAAAACTATATAGAAATAAAATAATAAATATACTAATATAATGATAATGAGTGACAAACATTCAATGCGGTTATGATTATCATTGTGAGCTCAATAACTCAGAGAAAAGTCACCTATAAACTCATTTTTTTACATTAACCACCACACACTTAATATTTTTCTTATGATAGGTTGGCATTAGGTTGAAAAATGTTGGCCCAAGATAGTCAACAAAACCCTTTCCAAAAGATTTTTTGGTATATACGATTGGATAGACGAGCAAGTATTATGCCTATACTCTACTGTACTAGTCCTCTCGGATCAAATCACTTCCAAATTAACGCTTTGATGCTTATTTTAAAATACTTTTTTGAAGAACTAATCAAATATAGTTAGCATTAAATCTAAAATTCTGAATTTCACTACTTTCTACACGCTTATGTAATCCTAATCAAAATGAATAATTTTTGTAAATTTTTCTCAATTTGCATTATAAAGTAAAAATATAAACAGATATTGTATCAAAGCGTAGGTTTGAATTGAAAATCTATTAATTTGCCGGTAAACGAAATTGTTTTTGTGTTTTTTGCTGTTGTTGTTGTAATAGTTTTTATTTGTACAAATGTCGCAAATAAGAAAATATAAAAAGAAATATAGTTTTTTGTTCAGTATAAGTCGGTATACTACTATTTTCTTTTATAATATTTTACTTATTATTGTTTTCATGGTTTCGCAGTATTTTTGGTCACTGAAAATGATTTTTCTGTTAGAATGAAAAAAAAACAATTTTACATGTAATAGAATTAGACTAAAATTAAAAAACTACGGTTAAAAAAACAAATAAAGATAATTATTTTTCCGACACTTGTGTGTGGAATTCGAATGGAGGAAGGATAGGTGTAGAGGCTGGTAGAGAACGCTAGCTTATCTGCAACTTCATAACCAAAGATACCTGAATGTCTGGGCACCCAGAGAAGTTGAACTTTTTTACTATCCAGAAATAGGCTATAGATTAGAAATTTAACGAAGAGAATAAGAGAAGAGAGTTTGGAAAAAATGGGGTAGGAGAACAAAGCAGGACGCATGACTTGTTTTCGGAAATAATAAGACAACGGTTGAAGTCAATAGCAAAAAGGTATTGAAGGGAACTAATAATAGCGTAACATTCAGCTGTATAAGAGGAAGCATGAGACATTTTTTTTTCGGAATAAGAGAAATTAAATTTAGGGATAACAAATTTAAAACCTGCTGAATTAGAGGAAACAGAGCCATCGGTATAAATGTGTAAGGAATTAGGTAAGTGGGAAGTCATTAAAAAGACAATTGACTACCTAATGAGTTAGATAGGACCTAGGAAGGAATTTAGGTGAGATAAAAATATCGGGAACATAATGGAGGGCAGACAAAAGAATGTGTAAAGATGTAGAGTGTAGACGAAGACTAGTGTGATAAGACAATTTCTTAAGGAAAGTGAGCGTTGAAGAGACCCAAGACAAAATAGAAAAGAGTTTTAGGTAAGACAAAAGTACGGTGTAGTAGTTATAAATAATAGTTAAATTTTAAAGCTACATAAATAGAATTTAAAGCATCATGAATTAAATATAATAATTGCAGGGCGTTTAAAACACATCGATATCTCAATGTGCTTATAGTGACGTAGCTGCGCCGAGTAGAAAACCGAGTGCATTGGGAATTTAGGTAAAAAAATATTTTCAATAAATTGGAAAGAGATCGCAACAATATTACAACGTCTCATTTTACCCGATTTGGCATCGATGTTGACTTGACATACCTATTGTACACGTGGATGTGTTCAACGGCAATATATTATTACTGTTTGTTTAGTAAATGCCTATACGAGCATATGGTGCGAATTCAATATTAAAACTGTTTTTCGTACATTGCAATATTATAGCGTTATAGCATTATACGTTTTGTAGAAATCGAGTAAAGTTGAAACTTCTGATAATTTTTTATTCGTTTTTTACTGCAGCACAACAATGCACGCTGTCGTACATCGGTCAATCGTCACATTTTACCTGTGGTGGAATTTGGTCAATGCCCATCCACCTGTATCCACAAACATGGTATCGCTAAAGCCACCGATTCCTTCCGGACGACACGGCGGAAACGACTTTTGCAAAATCAGCAATTTGCCACCGTCAGTGGCTATATTAAACAGAAAGTGTCGAATACCCGGATACGGTAGACTAGTAGTGCACGACAAACTTGGAAAAAAAGTCGATTTTACAATAAAAACACAACTCAACGCTCGAAAATCATCCGCAGAATTTGATGAGTCGAACGACGATGTGACTAATAACGATTTCAATGTGAGTATGGATTTAATGTGGTTTTACCATGTCGTGTATAATGCTCTGAAACGACATTAATTCGGCTGTTTGCGAATCGACTTCGTGTCGATTAAACAGCTGTTTTTACTAGACAACTACATTGATCTGTTGTGCTAAATTATACTCGACATTACACTTTTGACGAGGTTATATTCATTTTTTTTTTGTGGTTCGTTTCAAGTACTGGACATTCCTAAGAAGGGTGTAAAGTATCACGAGTACAGCAAACGAATTCGTTACATACAAATGGAAATGAACGAAAATATCTTAATACCTGTAACACTGCTGGGTTTTTTTTTTTTTAGTTTAATAGGGTTTTATAAATTTTTAATACTGGGAAATATGAATTATTAGGTCAATGTTTGCATACATAAATTGTTTATAAGTAAATAATTTGTATGTATAGTAAGTGTATAATATAATACTTTGT